TAATCCTAAGTCTTGGTTTGGTCAGCTAGAATCGCAATTTTCTTTGCGTGGTATTAGGTCCGAAAAGACCAAGTTCCACCTTGTCGTTTCCGCGCTTCCGCTAAATGTCATCGATGACATTGATGACATTCTAGATCTTCCTGACGACCGAAAGACTTACGATGCAGTCAAGACAGCTGTTCTGAGAAGAACAGGCTTATCCGATCGACAACGAGTTACGAAACTCCTGAACGAAACCGATCTTGGCGATCTTAAGCCGTCTCAGCTGCTTCGAAAAATGCAGAGCCTAGCCAAACCCACTTCAATAGATGATTCTTTTCTTCGGGAAATGTGGTTGCAACGACTTCCGCGCGAGATGCTACACATCCTCTGCGCTAGTGAGGATGCACCTTTGTCCAAACTGGCCGATACAGCCGACCGAATTTGGGAGTCGTACGGCCAGGTTTCGCAGGTCCAGACGAAACCGGACAACGATATCGCTACGCTTAAATCCCAGATGGCAACGTTGACTCGACAATTCGCAGACTTTTCGGCCTCCAGACATAACCGCTGTAAATGCTCTAGGAGCCGTTCGCGTTCACGTTCGAAGTCTCCTTCTCGATCACCGAATAGAAACGGTTACTGCTGGTACCACGAACGCTTCGGCCAGCAAGCTAAATCATGTCGCCCGCCCTGTTCCTTCAAACGACAGCAGCAGGGAAACGGGCGGACCAGCACGTAGGGGCGACGGACGTAGCTGGTCAACGCAGTCGCCTTTTCTTCGTCACCGATCGTAGAACCGGAGTTCGCTATCTCGTCGATACTGGCGCAGAAGTCAGCGTTCTCCCGCGTGATCCAAATGACCCGACCGAAAAGGTGACTAGCTCATTGCGCGCAGCTAACGGGACCATCATCCGCGTATATGGTCAACGCTCGCGCACGCTAAATCTCAGCCTCCGACGCGCTTTCAAATGGTTATTCCTCGTTGCCGATGTTCAAACGCCTATCCTTGGTCTCGACTTCCTACGTCATTACGACCTACTCGTCGACGTTAAGCGACACCGTCTAGTCGACCGTCTTACGAACCTCGCAGTCATTGGGACTTTGACCGACACCGCGTCAATCAGTCCCGTGTACGCGACTCAACTTACTTCACCCGTCGGGCAAACGCTGCTCGATAGTTTTCCGCAGGTCTTCCGTCCTGCCGTCCCGTTGCCTTCCGCAACCGACGCCGCGACACATCATATCGTTACGAAAGGTCCGCCTGTGTTCGCAAAAGCCAGGCGCATGACCCCCGACAAGCTCAAAATTGCTCGCTCCGAATTCGAGCACATGCTAGACCTAGGCATTATTCGCCCGTCTAAGAGCCCGTGGGCGTCGCCTCTACACATGGTGCCTAAAAAGTCAGGAGACTGGCGTCCATGTGGCGACTATCGCGCTCTTAATAACGCTACCGTCCCCGACCGCTATCCCATTCCGCACATTCAGGACATCACGGCTAGCCTACGTGGCGCCCGTGTGTTCTCGAAGATCGATCTGGTTCGCGCTTACCACCAGATCCCTGTAGCCGAGGATGACATTCCGAAAACCGCAGTCATCACGCCTTTCGGACTTTTTGAATTCTTGCGAATGCCCTTCGGTCTTCGTAACGCAGCTCAAACTTTTCAACGCTTCATAGACTCTGTCACCAGAGGTCTCGACTTTGTTTATCCTTACATAGACGACATCTTAGTAGCTAGTTCCTCCGAAGAACAGCACGCGAAGCACCTCAAGATGCTTTTCGAGAGGTTAGCTTCTAATAGCATTACGGTCAACGCTGACAAATGCATCTTTCAGCAACCATCCATCGATTTTCTTGGTCATCGAATTGACCAGCATGGCATACGGCCGCTCGAAGACCGAGTCAGTGCTATTAAGGACTTTCCCCTTCCGACTACTTTGGCCGCCATCCGCCGTTTTAGTGGGATGATTAACTACTACCGTCGATTTCTGCCACGTTGTGCCGACTTGCTCAGTCCATTGACCGACTTACTTCGTGGACGCAAGAACGGCAATGTCGAATTGACGCCCGCTGCAACCGAAGCCTTCAAAGCCTGCAAAGAGGCCTTGGCCGAAGCCGTTATGCTTCACCATTTCGACCCGAAGGCTCCACTCAGCGTTGCAGTCGATGCATCGGACACCGCCATTGGCGCCGTCCTGCAGCAATTCACTGAGGGATGCTGGAAGCCACTCGCTTTCTACTCCCGACGCTTACAACCGGCAGAAGCCAAGTACAGCACGTTCAGCCGCGAACTGCTGGCAGTTTATTCAACCGTTCGACATTTTAGGCACGTCTTAGAAGGTAATTCGTTCGTTATCTTCACCGATCATAAGCCGCTTATTTACGCCTTTCGAAATCAATCAGCTCGACACTCACCACGTGAGGTTCGTCAGCTGGATTTCGTGGCTCAATTTTCTACTGACCTCCGACACATTTCAGGTCAGAATAACGTCGTTGCTGACGCCCTTTCGCGCGTCTCCGCAATCCACACCGCTGGCCAGGCAATCGACTTATCTGCCATGGCTACCGCGCAACTAAACGACACTGACTGTCAGAACGTCAAACAAGATTCTTCGCTACGAATCACACCGCATCCACTGCCGTCATCTGATGGCACAATCTTGTGCGATACTTCTACTGGACGACCTCGACCCGTCGTTCCAGAAACCTTTCGACGTCTAGTTTTCGACACACTTCATAACATCGCTCATCCAGGCATCCGAGCCACGATCAAGCTCATATCCGAGAGATACGTTTGGCCCGGAATGCAACGCGATCTTAAGCGCTGGGCACGCGGATGTCTAACGTGTCAACAGGCCAAGATACAGCGGCACGTGTCCGCCCCGCTTGGTCGTTTTCCGCAAGTCTCAGCTCGCTTCGCCCATGTCCATCTCGACATAGTTGGACCCTTGGCACCATCCAGAGGAATGGTCTACATTCTGACCATGATCGACCGATACACCCGTTGGCCCGAGGCAGTACCTATACCCGACGTATCCGCGGACACCGTAACGCGCGCTTTCGTTGAGCGCTGGGTCGCTTCACATGGCTGTCCAGCCACAGTGACTACCGACCGCGGTCCGCAGTTCGAATCCTCGACTTTCAACGATCTTCTCAAAGTCCTCGGATGTCAACGCATCCGGACTACCGCCTATCACCCGCAATCCAACGGCATGGTGGAACGTTTCCACCGACAGCTGAAGGCCTCACTTAGTGCCGCTAATGCACTAAGCTGGACCGAAGCACTGCCCATGATACTACTTGGTATCCGATCAGCTCTTAAAGCTGATTTGCACACGTCCAGCGCCGAACTGGTATATGGACAACCTCTTCGATTACCTGGGGACTTCTTTTCTGGAAACCCCAGAACACCCCGCTACGACGCGAATTACGCTCGGCAGTTAGCCACGAGCATGCGCCATATTAAAGTAACCGACGTGCGAGAACAACGACGTAAATCGTTCGTTCCACAAGATCTACTGCATTGCGCTTACGTTTTCCTTCGAGTCGATGGTCTACGCAGACCACTCGAACGACCCTACGAAGGTCCATTTAAGGTTCTTCAACGTAAGGACCGCGTATTCGTTATCGACCGCCACGGTAAACGTGAAACTGTCTCTATCGACCGTCTCAAGGTTGCCCATGTGGAACCTGAGATCGACGATGACTCCTGTCCACCTTCGGACGAGTCAACGCAGCCCATGATCGACGATACGCCTACTTCCGATGCTGCGAAGCATTCTCCGACCAACTCTTCCGACTCAGTTCCTTACGTTTCTATCGAGCCGAAAGCGTCCTCATCCGACAAAACTGCTGGATCGACAACGCCTCCGACCGAACGTCCGAAATCGACTAGGTCAGGTAGGCGGGTTCATTGGCCAGCGCGATTAAAAGATTAGTCTTCTTTTCATTCTTCTTTTCCCGCTTCCTTTTTGCTTGTGGCCTAACCCGCCCAACAAAAACGTTTTGAAAACCCAAAAAAATTTGCAAAGCGTTTTGAAAACCCCAAAAACCGCAAAGACGTTTTGAAAACCCAAAAAAGGAGAAAATCGTTTTGAAAACACAAAATGGTTCTCGCTTTATTCGCTTATCGCACTCGGTAAGTGCTATCGCCTTTTGTTAGCTCTGTCGCTCGCACCTGTTTGACACTCCGCGTTTCCGCTTCTTTTTCATATCCCCGACACGCGGACGTTCAACGACGATCGAACGTTACGTTTGCGGACACTACGTGCTCAAACATCGTGTGCTTTGACAATACGCATTCGAACGCTACGAACATTTCCCCCATTTTGTGTTTTTGGCACCTGTAGGGAGGACACGGGTGGGAGCCCCCCTAGCGTCCGATCGCATTGGTTCTCCCCCAGCAGCTGCATCAGGTTTCACCGCCTGGTCTCGCAGAAGGCTGGCCGGCGACGGACAGTCCTCACGTAGATCGAAGGGTCACCTACGGTTCCCTTCTAAGAGGGGGGCTGTGTAGTGACCTGGAGATTCCCCTGTTTGGCTGCCGCATGCTGCGTAAAATATTACAAAATCACAAAATTATATTTTCTCGATGTACATAGCAAAATAGCCGCTCGCCTGTTTGAACGTTGCTCGCGTTTGTTTGAGTCAACATAGCATCCGCCTTCGAACGGCGCGACGCTCCTCGGCTCCGCGGCCATCTTTGCTCTCCGCGCACGCGACCACACCTTTCCCTAGCTAGCTATCTTTCGGTGCCTTATTTTTAGCACTAGATAGCCTTTCGCCCACTTAATAAATTTTTCCTAGCGTTACCTTTGGTGTTCTCCACTCACCGGAGGTTGGCCTTATATCCGCGTATTTGTTCTAAAGCGTACCGATCCCGCTTCGCGCTTTAGGTACACTCATGGGATTCTCATATCGTACGATAGGACTGGAAAGCTAAAGACCCTACTAAAGTGCAAGGAAATGCGTGAAATATACGTTGAGCATAATAAACCTTTAATGCAACGTTCCTCCACTTTTAGAAAATTTTCATATTATATAAAACTAGTTCACAATAAAAAGGTTTTAATGGGCTTCTGAAGGAAATACAGAAGTATACCTGCAACTTTTTCAATAAGCTTTACACAGTAGTCTTCTATTACGTCTCTTCCACGACAAATCTTCCAATGCATTAATCGAACATCAATCGGGTCACCACACCCAGATTGGGCGCTAGTGCAACTATAACAAAATAGGGTGCCATATATACCTGAAACCGGAAATGGGTGGAAAGTATATTTACATATATTGCAGTGCGTAGCCGAGCATTAATAGAAGCAATTCCATCGTAAACGTTACCTTTAATCATGAGCGTTGCAAGTGTGAACCAAGTGAAAGTGGACAAATTCATAAAACCTAGAAAGTGACGCATATTTCGAAATATCGGAGGAGTCACATCCAATTAAAACACCTAAAGGTACAAAATTGTCTAGAGAAAGCTGGCTATAAGCTAATCAAACTGGTTACCATTTTATGTTTGTGTCTCTATTTTATGGAATACCAAATAAAATTTCCGACACTAGTTCAAGTCCGGGTGGGACTGGAACGATAGGAGAATTCCATGCGCGTTCCACCTTGAGTGGAGTGTTGAGCCAGAAAGTAATTAAATGTGCAGTGATTGATGGATTTAAAACGGAACACCAGTATCGCACCCTGGCCAACCAATTACTGCCCACGTTTCCTGCCATAGCAGTCGCTGCTGTGGCAGTCACATAAAGTAAGCAAAGGATGGGAAGCAAAATGAAAGGTAGAGAATAAGGAAGCACTTGAACCAAGAATATAATATCAGGGCATGCAGAAAAGTAAGGAATAAATTCGAAGTATGACAATGTGAGTTAGTCAGGAACAGGGAAATTTTTTATGTTGCCGCCCATGAGCGTGATGTTGCCGCGCAAACCTCTTAACCGTAAATTCCCTGATAACACTTCCCGGAAGCATGTTCCAGTGCTGGATGAATCGGCGTGACAGCCGGATTTTCGCCCTGATACGATCAGACCGCGGTTTGCCCATCTTAAGGAATGACCGTGCAGGACAGACAAACTAGCGGGACTGCATAGCCAAGATAAGCTGAGCCAACCTTCCTAGTTAAGATATGTTAGGTTAGAATTATGCCTCCTCTAAGCCTTCGGTAGTGTGTTTAGTACATTCCTAAACTAAGCAGACATTCTGGGCACGTCCGTCTCCGTAATCCCTCAACTAACCTCCTACCCACCCGTAAAACCCTCTCTAGCTCCATTTTGTCCAGAACGAGGCAGGGCGGACAAGCCTAGACGCAGTATTCCAGATGGGGCCGAACGAAAACCGAGGACAGTCTCATAAAGTAACCGCACGCCAAGGCTCCGAACTAAGGTCGTATTAACTACAACACGCAGAAACCATTGCTTTCGGCCTTCTTCCAGTTGTCGTCGGAGTGTAAAGCCGAAGATTGTATGACGCCAATATCAACCCGGCGAGATACACGGGGAATTCCGCCCCCGACCATGTACTTCGCAAGAGGACAACCTCCTCCAATTTGAATAACGGAGCACTTTGCCTGATTTATGAGCAGTAACCATAAAGTAGACTAGTCCCAAATCTTATTCAAGACTCGTTGAATAGCTTCGGAACCCCCAGGAACATCCACAATCTTATACAGGTTCAGGTCATCAGCAACTATCAGCGATAGTACCACAAGCTCCCCGGGTAGATCAGTTACATAGATAGAGAGCCGCAGCGGTCCAAGTACCAAGCCCTGCGGCACGATACCGAGGACTGTCTGTCTAAACGATAGGCCACGACCTACCCGTACACACTGTTCACTACCATCCAATAAGGTAGTCCCCCAATGAAGGGCGCGGCCAGATACCCCGTAGGAGATCAGCTTTTGCGTAAGCCTCAAATAAGGTACCTTGTCAAATGCCTTCGAATATTCGCTGTAAAGCACGTCCAGTGCGTGGCCGTTATCCACTGCATTCGCCCAACATTCGCCAACCACCAGTATATTCATCCGACACTAAAATCCCTTCCGGAAACCGTGTTGTACATTGCTACCAGACCATCTCAAAAGTGCTGCTGTTTTTGGCGATGTCATCGCATTTGAAATACTTAGCATCATGCGATCTTGTACTAACGAGGTTGTTACTTTTGAATGGAAGGATTTTGGTGAGTACTTTTGTTCGTCGCAATCAGCCGACAATTCAGATATGTCGACCAGCTGTCCGGAAAAGCACCAGACAGCCGTTTCGCCCTATTGGGGCTCATCAGTGGCGCGCATCCTTCGCTCCTCTGCGGAGGATCCAACCCATGACTGCTAGTGGCTCTTGCCAACTTGCCCGCAGCTTATGCAACTGCGCCATGGAGGACGGTATCTGACTATCGTGAATTGTTAGCTAAATGCGATATAGCCCGACGCATCCTCCACTGCCTTGCAGGCACCTGCCATGCAGATGACAGCGGTCGGCCTTCCGGCGTCAGGACTTCCCGGTTACGGCAGCTATGAATCGACATAGCATTTTTGTGGTCGACTTATCTGAATTGTCGGCTGATTGCGACGAACAAAAGTAATGAGGCTGTGTTTAATATCCCAGGACAATAGTTCACTGGAATCAATATAAACTGTCATCGTTATTACTAATACTCCTTTCTCTTTGCATCATCAACAACACTGCACTTCCTTTCTTCACCTCGCTTTGTTTCCAAAGCCTAGTACCACTCCTTCTTTTGTCTCTGCTGCTTTGGCATACATTCCGTGCTACTCACCGCACAAATCGCTGCGCCAATGGCTAAACTTTGACATTTTCTGCAGGAAACAAACATTTCGATATTTTCCTATCTATATCCTTCTCCCAAACTGTCATGAGTATCCCTAAAGCAATTTCCTCTATTTAGACTTGACAACGCTGCATTGTCCCTGCGCCCCTCCTACGTTTTCCTGTGCCTTGATCTAATCCTTATCTTATTCCTTCGCCTGTGGCTTCTATTTTACATACGCACGACCTACCTCTGCTGCTCTAATAACTTACCTGCTACACTGTGGCTCCGCACTATTTCGTGCCGAACCTTACGTGTCTGGGTATGAAGCCTACCTCCGTCCTTCCCCCAAACTGTCCTGGTCCTTACTAATGATCTTCCCTTTGTTAAACCTTACCACTGCATTGACCCTGTCCACCACGCCTCGTGTCCTTACCCAGTCCTACTTCTGCACTTAAATCTTTGGCTTTGAGGATAAGTTCCTCTTATGCACTACCCACCTCCACTGCCCTACCAAATTAACTTTGACACCGTGTCGCCGCAATTCTTGCAAAGGACCAAAGGTATTTAGCTATGTTACCAACCTAAATACTACGCTTAAGCTGCCATCTTTATGACAGATAATTGTTTTAATATTTAAGCTTAAGAACACTGCATTGTCTAGTTTCATCCTGCTTTGTAACACATGCCTGGTCCCACTACTGTTATCATCTAGCACTGGGTTCCTTTTCCTCTTGCGCACCAGTTACCTCCGCTGCTGCATTGACTTACCTTCAATAACGTAGCTTCGCACTATTTTGTGTCGAACCTCAAGTAGCTGGCTACTTGGCGTACCTACCCCCTCCCCCTGAACTGTCATCGTCATCACTAATAATCGTCCCCCTACTTACATCTTAAAGTCACTGCATCGTCACACTTCATCTTCTTTTATCCCCTGCCTTGTCTTAGCCCTTATCTTATCCCTTTGGCTCTGGCTTTCATTTCTACTTACGCACTACCTACCTCCGCTGTTCCGCCGATTTACCTTTGACACTGTAGCTCCGCATATTTGCGTGAATGAAATGAACCGATCCGCTAAATAAATAAGTAAATAAACAATTTAGTATCGACCATACGAGTCAAGCTTTATAAGGCATGAAAATGATAATACAAAATGCAACCTCAGTAATGGTACAGAAATGTTGCAAATTAACTAGAACATACGAGGTATATGTGCTTATGTATGTGTAGTGTGTAGATAAGTACATGTGTAAATCATCATGTTGAGTGCATTGGTCACTAATGCTCTGACTTGTGCGTTTGTTTGGCAAATTCAACGACATAAGCCTGGATCAAACAAAATCTTTGAAGTTGTCACCGCTCGTGAAATGGATAAGTTCCTCCGGTAAGGCAAGACGCAAGGACTTTAGTTATTGGCGAGTCCTATCCACCATGTCACCTTGTGTTTAAGCAGGCATATGTGACTTATTATGGGGAGAACGCTTGCCAAGCCTAAACCCACTACTTCCTGGGAAAGTGCTGCTGAACTATTCGCCGGAGCGGGATTAATCCAAACCATCCAGCCAGCCCCATGTGAAGCTTGCTTGCCTAGCCAGACTACCTAAATACTTTACCAAAACTGCCATCGTTATGATTGATAATCGTTCTTAAATTTAACATTAACAACGGTGTACTGTTCAAGCACACCCACATTTTATCCCTTGCATTAGCGTTTCCTTATCCTATCTTTTTGATCACGCTTTTACTTTTCCTTACCCACCGCCCGCTTTTGCTGCTCCACCGACCTTCATTTGATCCAGTAGCTTGGCACCCTAGTACGCAGGATCCCAGTTTTTGGCTATATTGCCTAGCTATAAAGTTCTCCTTAGTTGGCATGACTGTCACTAAGGATTGTTCATTTGTTTAACGTTAAAGACTCAGCATTTTTCATCTATACCTCGCTTCGTGTCCCCTGCTACTCTCATCTCTATTGCTCCCGCTTGCATCTCCACCTACTGATTACCTACCAAGGCTGGCTGGCCGAACAACCTCCTCGTGGTGCCAGCTGGGTGGTTCGGGTTTACCCCCTTCCAGCAAATAGTTCGGCGGCAGTGTTCCAGGACGTGGTGGGTTTTCGCCTGGCAAACGTTCTCCCTATAAAAAGCCACAAAAATCCGTTTAACAACACTGTGACGTGGCGGTTGTGACTCGCCACTAACTAAAGTCACCCATTGCTTATCCGGACCATCGCTTCAAGTCCACAGATATCAAGCATCCATTTAGCACTGGCGACACCTTCAAACACATTCAAGCAAAACGACAGGAAACATTTACCAATCTCATAAACCAATCTAAGCACGCCTACATGCAAACTTACATACGTTCATACATAAACATATGCAACAATCCCACTGTTCCATTGTACACTAACTGATCACATTTTGTACTCTTAACATGATCATGCCTGCGCAGGCTTGCCTCGCTTAGTCGAGAATACACAATTTATTTATTTATTTATTTAATTGTCGTCCCCGATCGCATCTAAAACGACACCAAAGGACGCGTTCAGTTAAATGCTTGCGCTATATGATTAAGGTGTTCATAGAAGTGTTTACAACAGTTACAATTTGTTGCAAAATGTTT